TATATATATATATATATATACACACACATATATATATATATATATATATTTCCTTTTACTTGTGCATGCATTTGTGTCTCTTAAATGATTTATTTTTTATAATTTTCCCAAGTCTTTTTATTTCCATGTGTTGTTTTTACATTTCTCTGTCTCCTGTATATTACCTTATGCATTTCTGCCTTGTTCTGGAAATAAGGTGGGCGGTCCTTCTTGGGACAGCTCCTCTCCTACTGGTCAACAGCGTCAAGTTTAAAGTTTAGTAAAAAACAAAGGCAAGAAGGAAAACACTTGCATGTGACTTMGTTTAGAACTAAACATTAAGGTTGAAGATAAACTGAGGCAGCACTAGRATGCACAGTAGATCTGCACATGGATCCTGCTCCTTCCTGTCTAARGACCAATAGGAAAGGAGCTGACTCAAGAAGGACCGCCCAGCTTATTTGCACAGTAAAGCAGAAATGCATACAGGAGACAGAGAAATGTAAAAACAACACATAGAAAAAGATGTGGGAAGAATTTAAATGTGTGTATAATTTTTTTAAAACAGTAAAAATAATGTTTCAAAATGTATAATTTATTGGAAATAAGCTGGAAAAATAAATATGAAGGTCATTTAAATTATAAAACAAGAGGTAAAATGATATATTTTGAAATTTTAATTGGTGCATTTTAATTGTTTTTTTAATATTTCATATCTATTTCGGTCCTCCATATATTTAGCCTCAAAAACCTTTTTTTTCTCGTGACATTTATGAACATGACTTTTTAAAACATTTCATGTAATTCTAAATGTCTCTTCCATCCACCCATTATCTATACCCGTTTAGTCCTTTGTCTAGGGTCACGGGGGTCACTGGTGCCCATATCCAGCCGTCACAGTGCGAGGGGCGGGGTGCACCCTGGACAAGTCACAAGTCCATCACAAATCTATTTGTTAAATATTACAGAGCCTGTTTGTTAGCATCTCTTGACCTGCTACTGTTTTAAGATGATGCTCACACATTACTGTGTCATAATATTATGATTCATGGAAAAGTSGTGTTGAATGGCTCGAATAATTATTCTCAGTCTTCATATCTAATTACTTCTTCCAGTATTTGTGCATCAGTGCATGTGGTAAATATAAAGTCAAACAGCGCTGTAAGGAGTTACATCCATCATCCCATTATTTAAACCAGCAGATGGCAGCATCAACTCATTAAACACTCACTGGACTGTGTTTAGTATTTACCTAACAGAAAAAGCTAAATTAGTTTACTGGCCTACTGGATCAAAATTACTTCTCATTTTTGTCGTATAACTATTGTTTAGTGCCTCTGCCAGGGCAGATTTCTTATTTTTCAATAATCTTCCTGCTCTTCATCATCATGGCGAGACATATGCTTTCCAGGCTGCTGCAATGACCAAAATAAGAAATAAAAAAGGAAACAAAAACYAACAGCCCAAGCTCTAAGCTGTGATCTTGTATGCGGCAAACAGGCCCCCACAGCTCGACGTGCAGTCACTGTTGCGTGCTCGCCAGCTACCATGGAAACGCCCTGAAAATGGGCGTGGGACCATGAGTCACATGGTCACTTAAAGGGTAAACAAGGCTCATTCATAACCGCAGCACAGCCCTTATATAGTACAAATAAGAACAACTAATCTGCTAATAACTTTTAAAAAATAACGTATTGTTTATGATCTATTCGTAACTTTCATCTATACAAACCCAGAGTTATCTAGAGTTTGATCCACTAATCTCACCACTTTCTGCTTCCTTATTACACATTAAAACATCCGTAAAACATTTACAGTTATGTTGAACTTTATAGAGCAGGATGCCTGTGGAAAATTCCAGGAGCTGGGGTGTCAAAGGGAAATAGTTTCCTTTATAGTCACTGATGTATTTTTACTGTTAGACAATGCAGTCCATCGATTTAAGGCCGTCTCTCTGCTCTCGGATCCCCTTACGCTGGGCTTCCCTGAGCTGCTTGARGCCCTTATTTAACTCTGCTGGATATATTTAGCTCCCGCTGATGACAAATTTCTGCCAACTAAACAATTTAGGAGAGTACACGATAAGWGATACCACAGTGAGAGGACAAATATTCTGTCCGAGTTGAAGCTTTCATTGAGGACTGGGAGAGTGGTTGTCCAACTTGAAATGTTTATTGTGTATATTTTTCCACATTTTACAGAATTATATATATATA